TTTTTTTTTTTTTTTTTTTTTTTTTTTTTTCCAAAGTGTAAAATGGCTTGTACAATTGGACATTATTATTTTTTTTATGTTGATTGAAGAAAATAGACCATAATTCTGATTGAATATATTTAACAGTTTAATTTTGATATTCAAACTTTACCAAATTTTTTAATATCTTGATTATTAGTGGCAAAAATGGGACATAGACCACGCAACGAATTTCTCGTTCCTGGAATTACTCGCTTCTCCCGAAGTGTAGTTTATGCCAGAAAGGCCTTATTTAAGCGCAAGAAAACGACTTTTGAGAAGGTTCAAACCAAATCTCAAACCACCAAAACAGTTGAAATAAAGGGTGATAAAAATGGTGGTAAACGTGTGATTCCATTAGAAAAAGCGCCCAGATTTTATCCCGCGGAGGACACTCCGCGTCCAAAGAAATCTCGTAAAGTCAACAAACCAGCTAAGCTTCGTTCTGCCATTACTCCTGGTACGGTTCTTATCTTGCTGGCTGGTCGTTTCCGTGGAAAGCGCGTCGTCTTTTTAAAACAACTTGAAAGTGGATTGTTATTAATAACCGGTCCATTTAAAATCAATGGCGTACCGTTGAGGCGTGTCAATCAATCTTATGTCATTGCTACTTCTACTAAACTTGACATTTCCGCTTGTTCGGTAAGATCCGGTGATATATTTGAAGGAAATTTGTCAAAATAAAATTTATGAAATTAAGAATAATTTTATTTTATTTAGCTTGACAAGTTCAATGACACATACTTTAAAAGAGAAAAGAAATTAAAAAAGAAAGTCACAGAAGAACAACTCTTTGGTGAAGATCAAAAGGTACATAATTTATGCTAAGTTTATGGTTACATATATAACTATATATTGTAATTTTTACCAAGAAAAACTCAATCTTATTTAGCAAGAGAAAAAACTTTCGAAGCCGAGAGCTGATGATCAAAGAGAGATCGACGGGAAAATCGTTATTGGGTTGAAGAAAACGCCTCATCTTAGAGATTATCTGCATGCTAGATTTTCACTTTCCAAAGGTCAATTCCCTCATGCTTTAAAATTTTAATCTTTGTTGTTTTACCCGTTACCTCGTTCGGATGCTGAAAAAAAAATAAAAATAAATTTTAATTAAAACTCATTGTTTAATGATTTTTTTTGGTCGAGACGCCAATATTACTTTTTAACGATGAATTTTGCTACTAAATTAATATTGATCCAAAGACTTTGTTTTAAGGACAAGAATTGTGATGTGTTTGATGTGTTTATAGATAGGTTAGAAATTAATATGCAATATAAATCTTTAGAATTTTAAATTAACGAATGCTAAATTTGATTTTTATTTAAATTTAAATAAGAGGTTTATTAAGTATAAATTATATTGCTTAAATTCATTTTTTAAATAATAAATTATATTTAAAAACTTTAAATATATAATTAAAATAACAAATATAAAATTTATAAATTATATATATTATAATTTGTAATATGACTTATAGAATATTAATCATTGCATTATAATTCCAAAGGCCTATAAAATTTTATTGTA